GGGGCGGCCACTGTGGACCCGGTGGTCAGTGGCTACGACGGCCGGAGCCGGGCTTGGTTCAGACTCAGGAGGAGTCGCATCCCGGTTACAATGGCCCAGTGTGCCCGGGCCAGGGAGCAGAAAGCCAGAGGCCCACGTCCATCTGTCCCTTCCCCCCGCCTTCCCAAGCCCCGCCCCTCCCAGCCCTCTCAGGGACAGGCATCTGTCCCTCCTACCCCAGCTCTCCCTAACCTACTCCCTCCCCAGCCCTCTCAGGGTCAGGCCTTGGGCCTGCAGCTGCTGGGAGGAAGCACAAGAAGCCTCCTCCTCACTCCTGCATTGCTGGGAGCCTGCACAGGACAGGCAGCAAGTGCTCAGGTCAGTCCCGCTCCCTGCTGGCCAATTTGCCCCCCCCTTCCTGGCCAGCCGGTTGTCCCCCACTTCCCCTCCTGATCTCCCCTGGCCACCCCCTCTGCAACCCCTACAGCTCTGCTTCCCGCCAGCCCGTTCCTCTTCCTGATCTCCCCTGGCCAGCGCAGCTGCACCCCCCACCCCGCCAGCTCTGCTTCCCGCCTCCCCTTCCTCCTGGCCACCCTTGTGACCCCCTATCCCCCACAACTGTGCTTCCTGCCCCACCTTTCTCCCGGTCAGCCGCACTACCTGGAAACCCCTAGCAGTGATCCAGGCTCATAGAGTTTTTTTTTTTTTTTGCTCAACAACTTTGGTTCCCCCCTCCCCTCTTTTTTCCTTCAATACATTTTTTTCCTGGTGTTTTTTTGGGGGAGGAGGGGGGAGCAGTGTTCAGTATTTTTGTTCCAGCCATCTGGCAACTCTAGAAGTGACCCATGCACATCAGAAAAGAGAGTAACTTGAAAATTGCTTGGGCAGCAAAAACTCTCCAGCAATTGAACGTTCCTGTGTGTGCCGTGTACAAGTCACACAAGCTACTTACTGTCTCTAACACAAAGGTGATTGGAACAGAACTCATCCGGGTATAATCTGGACGGTTATAACAGGTCAGATACTCTCATAGGAGGTCCTACTATCGCAGGAGAAATGCACCCTGACATGTCTATGGCCCAGGAGAAGGGAACTGGGCGTGTTTCTCTCTCTCTGTCGTTTCTCACTCTCACAGTCACTGTCATTGCAAAGGCTGCTTCTGAACAAACAAGGGTTTGAATTAATCAACCTGAGCATCTTGGAACCCAAGTCTGGGCCATTCACCCCCAATTATATGGAAGCCTCATCTAATTATGAACCAATTGACCAGCACCATTCTCCTTCCACGGTCTCATTTTCCCCTCCTCCATCCCCCCCAGGTACCTTTGAACTCTCCCTCCTCCATCTCGCCTAGGTACCTTTGAACTCCCTCAGCCTTTCCGACAGCACAATAACTTTCTGGGAAAAACCACGGATTTGTTCTTCCAGTTCAGGAGCCACCTCCTCCAGCTGCTGGACCTGCCCCTCCTCACACCTGGGGAGAAAAAACATCCCCTGGTGACACTGCAGTGGTTCCCAGCCTTTTCGACCATGTGGGCCCCCTTTCAATCTATGAAAATGTCATGGGCCCCCTCCCCTCTCTGGGGGAGAAACAAAGAAAAGGAAAAGAAAAAGAAGGTCGGGCTCAATCCTTGCTTTTGAACTTTCCACAGATCCCCTGCAGTACCCTCGTGGACCATCAAGGGTCTAGGGTTGCCAGATACTTTCACAATAAATATCTACCCCTCACATGGCAGGAAAAAAATTGGTTGAGCCCCCTCCCCCAAAAAAAACCTCACAAAAAAGAAAAAAAACCCACTGCGCCTTTAAATCCCCAGGTTCCCCGCTCTTCACGGCCCCACCAGACACGGGGGAAAATGTCACAACTGGGCTTCCAATAGAGAGAAAAAGAAAATAACGGACATTGTGCCGGACAGAGGCTGCAAATACCAGACTGTCTGGGCCAATACCAGACACCTGGTAACCTTACAGGGGTCTGTGGCCCACAGGTTGGGAGCCGCTGTGATCCTGCCTTGAGTGACTCAGTTCTTAAGTTCTGGTTAGTGGGTATTTGAGTCTCCAAGGCCAAGTCACGCCTGGGCCTCCAAGCGCTGAGGGATGGAAGGAATCTGCCCTCTAGGGACTAGACTGAGACACCAGCTCCCCTCCCCAGCTCATCCCACACAGGTCTCCAAACAGTCCTCAGGAGCAAAAGACCCTGGATCCCTGCTGCCCTGGGCTGAATGGTGCTCAGCTCCCAGTAGGGACAGGCCCTTGTCCCACCCCTCAGTCCTGGGACAGCCAGTCCCCAGGGAGGTGACATGGGTAGATGTTACCCACCAGCTCTGTGATTCTTGGGGAACCAGAACATGGTCACCTGTCAGCCTTGTGCTCTTGGGGAGCCAGGGAGTGACATTCATGGAAAACCATCCCCCTCCCTCAGGCCTCTGCTAGAATCAAAGACAAAGCAATGAAAAGGCCGGAGAAGACGCACCAAAACTGCTCCAGACAAGGGTGATACAATTAAGGAAACCCCCCAGCCTCATTTGCATTAAAGATGGAACAGAGGGACATCTCATTAGCATACAGGATGGAGAGCAGCTCTTCCAAGGCAGGAACCGCACTGAACTATGGGATACCGAAAGCAGAGAAGCACTGCATGATGGGAAATCCCTGCTCCAGATGCTAATGAACCTAGGCTTGCTCACACCCAAATTAGTCCTTATGGGTATGTCTACACTACCACCCTAGTTCGAACTAGGGGGGGTAATGACTATGGGATACCGAAAGCAGAGAAGCACTGCATGATGGGAAATCCCTGCTCCAGATGCTAATGAACCTAGGCTTGCTCACACCCAAATTAGTCCTTATGGGTATGTCTACACTACCACCCTAGTTCGAACTAGGGGGGGTAAT